CCATTCTTACATATGATCTTACTAAAATCCATGAATAAAGCTCAAATTTACTTAGATCTTCAGTGACCGCCAATGTTAAAGGACGATGAAGGTTAAAACTTCAGCTAGCTGCTAGAAAGGTGTATAAGGGCATGATTTTGTGTTCCTTTTGGATGAGATTATGCTATAGCATAATTGTTGAATCCAGCAAGCCCAGTTGGGGTAGATGTTGATTTGATATAAGAACAGGTAGTGTTTTCACGGTTTCCTTTATTGTAGCACCTTACACTAATTCTTACACTAAATGGACTGTATTTACCAACTACGCTTACTGAACTAAACTTAAGCCTAGAAAAACATTAATATATATCGTAAGGTGGTTAGCTCGGTGGTTAGGGAGTCCTTTTCCCAAAATGGGCGGAAACTGCCGCTCGTTAATCTTGGCGTGTCGAATTATGAGTTCGCTCCCTAACAATAATAATGACCTCACTGTATATTAATCCCATTCAAAAGCTGCCGAGAAATCCTACTTTACAACTGAAAAAAAGGTTAATAATCATGTGATCATACGCTAGTAGTGAAAAAATAACTTTAAAGCAATTTCCAGATGACCGACGTAATGTTTGACTTTTACTGTTGGTTTATGACTAAAATTTATACTTTTCACTCATTGTTGTTTATGATGTTAAAATCTTCCAAAAAAGCTCAAATTTCCAGCTTAGATGTTTAAAGACCGCTATATTCAAGGGGAAAAATTACTATTTTTTCTATGTAACTCGCTGTTTTACAAATCATGCTTACCTAACCTATTACCTTCTTGTCTCTCGTTTCCAATTTGACGTCCCGGAAACTGAAAATTGCACCAATTACATATGTATCCGTTAGTTTTAGTAAAATTAGTCTGAATCCAAAATTTGTAACGGGAGCCCGCTAGCATATTTAAATTTTTTTAAAATTTCGTTACAGTTTTATGAACATTTTAGTAACATAGCCTGGTGTATATAAATACCCCCGTGTAAGGGCGGTCAGTAGAATAACCCTACCGCAGATGGCACTGCGTGTCGTAAGAGGCGACTAACCAAAAGCCCATTCCCCCGTAAGTTAATAGCTTCTCTTTCGGAGTTAAGTCCTTGTGTTTTCTCTGGCGGTTGTGGTGAAAATTCCTATACCGGTTGGTGCACGGTAAGTAGGAATACATATAGGGAGTTAACATTCATAAAACAACAAAAGTCAGAACAGTAACAGAAATGTTGAAATGTATTTTTAAATTTGCGGGTACTTATACCTAAAGCATACCAAAACATGTAAACAGTTTTGTATGCACCTTTTAATTCTGAACAACTTTAAACTCTACAGTTTTTTCTGTAAAATGAACAGGAGGGCAGGATATTGCATAAAACTAATTTCCCATGTTAAATCCCTATGTTCCTACCATTGTATTACAATGGTTCCTACTTACCGTGCACCACCCGGTATATTTGACTGTGCCAATATTTTGAGAAGCGCTTCCTATGGGCGAGCGAATTTTTTGTGCTGGTTTTTACCAGGTCATTTCTCTTTAAATTTATTGAATTAATATATTTACATTGCTAATAGAGTTTTGTTTTTAATGTTTACTATGAATGATTGCTAAATGGGTTTTATGAGACTTTTTGATATTTAATAGGTCTTAAAAAATCCGTAGACGGCTCATTGGCCATACAAGCGTAACGCCTCTAGAAGCTTAAGACCATCCTCGATGCACTGTTCAACTAACAGTCCTACTTCTGTGGGAATGTCCACGTCAAAATTCAACTTTTCGGCACGGTAGTATCTGTTGATCATTTTCCTTTTATTGTATTTACTTCTCTCTTCGCCTTTCATTGGACGAAGTACGTAATATATGTATTTAGCAATGTTTGACATGGATATTCAATTTGCTTTTATAAAAAGTGCATACCGTTAAAATTGCACAAAAATTAGTTACTTTACTCAAAATCGTCAGGAAACCTTCATTTTCATGCCTACTTTATGTCAGGAAAATGTTAGTTTCCATGACGAAGGCAGGCCAGTCTACTTTTCCTGCCGCTTGTCACTTTACCGGCCGCACCTGTCACATTGCTAAATGTCTATAATCACTTCTGTCATCGTTGACAGATTGGCAGTAATCAAAAGTTCTACATGAAAATTGAAATTTTATATTAAAATACTATTTCAAATAAAATTGAATACAAAACTCGTCAGTAAAATGACATTATTATTGACTCGGAAATTCAATATTTCCTCGTATGTAATGTGTCATTTTCCAGACTTTTAGTAAATAACTATTTTATGACAGGACGCAGTAAAACTCTACCAGACTGCTTTTCCTGCTGCCTGTCACTTTTCCGTCCGCATCTGTCACAATGGTAATGTCTATAATGACCTCTGTCAGCACTAACATTAATCAAAAGATCTACAGTGATATTCAATTAGAAGTAGACATAGGGATTTCCTGATCCACCCTTAATTTTAACGGAGGATATGAAACTGAATGTTTTAATTTTTGTGGAAGGGAATCCCATAAGAAATTTAAAAAAAAGCATACTATTTACTGTCGTTTTTATTAAAATCCAGCGTCCCAATGCAAAATGCGTGCGCATGTTATTTCGGTTGCATAAAAGTAGGCGTCTTTCAGAAGAATTTTTGTCATTTAAAAATAGACATAGGAAATCCCTATGTCTGCTTCTAATTGAATAGCACTGTATATGAAAATTGAAATTTTATATTAAAATACGATTTCGGGTAAAATTTAATACAAAACTCGTTAGTAAAATGACATTCCGTGACTAGAAAATAAAAATACTCGGCCCCACACGAGCTTCGTACTTCAATATTTCCTCGCGAGTGAAGTGTCATTTTCGTGACTTTTATGAACAGCTACCACCATGTTCTAGGCATTTATCGTATCTGAACTAGGAACTAGGGAATCAAAAATTGAAGAGCAGCACCTAGGCGGTTTTTCTTGTGATTCCCTATAGGAGTATTTGGTACTCAGCCTCAAGCTTTCGATATCCCAGTTTGTCGTGAACAATTTCACGAAGAAGGGATCGTGAATCTTGGGGAAGTTTCCTAGAAAGCGGAGAAATCGTAAACGGTTTTCTCTAACTTTTTTCATTCACTTTATGAAGAAGTTCGTCATTAACCAACCCACTCCTTGCCTAATCGGACACGTTTACATGCCCATTGTCGATTCGTTTTACCGATCTTCTAACCACAGAACAACTAATTAGGTATATTCTGTCCATACACATTCATTTATTAATTTATTATCCCTCTCTTGTTCTGGGCCCTCAACAGGCTTGCGCCCAATTACAGAGTGACCCGCATAATGCTTTTTAGAGGTGCCTTTTCAGAAGGTCTTAAGTTGTTCTATACTACTCCGGTATTTACCTTACAAATTAGGAAAACTGCAGGAAAATCTAATTCGGAGTAGCCGGCAGAATGCTCGAAACTGGTCTAAGGAAATTCCCATGTCTGCCACAGATGAAAAATTCCTCCGACCTCCGGATGTAGAATTTCCACTGATTACATATGTCTCTCATTATAAAAACCGAATAACTAGAATCTAATCTCACAATCGGCGAAATTTTCAATTACTTTCACCATTATAAACAAGCACAGTTACGAAAACAACAAATAGCTAACTCAAAATGGCGTCAATAGCTTCGTAAGGATTAGAATTGTTGTTCCGCATGTACGGAACTGCGATCGCAGCGCTGCAATGGTGGTATATTGAAATAGAACTTACTTTCTGGAGGTCCTATGTACGAATTTCGTATTTGGATTGGGGTTTTTTCATTTCTCATAAAGAAAGAAGCTACCAATACCAAAAAACGCTTACTTTACCCTAGCGGAATTTTCCACTGCACCCAAATCTCGACGACAAAAAAATAACGGACTAAAAACTTTTGTATTTTGTTAACACTGAAAACCTTAAATTATTACGGTAAAAAATTTCAAGTAGTAAATTAAGTTTCCTATTTTTATTTGTGTTTTTGTAAGAGTAATCTTTGTGTGCGCGCTTGCGTGTGACACTTATCGAACTGAGTATGAGTGCGTGTAGCGTGCGTCATCAGTCGTAGTCTATCCTAGTTATGTAACGTATATTAAACGTATTACCCATGGCTCGTTAATCACTTGATCCGATCCTCTAACAGTTTTAAATAGACTAGGGAAAGGTATTAGTAAACTCGTGCAGTACTGCACAGCCAGATATGTTAACCATGACCATGATTAATTGCATTATTTATTACCAGAATAGAGTTTCAGTTTGTTAACCTATCCCCATTTAAGTTTGCTAATATATTAGCGCAAAGTAATCACTCGGGAGCATATTACCTTCCCTTTTTATTGCGCTACCGAATCCTCATAATTACATTTTATTTGATTAACTGTCACTCCACAAATGTAGAATAACAAAAAAAGGAATTTTCATTTATTTTTTTATTCAATATATTCAACCATATATTAAAAGTCTTCTCCATTTCTGAACTATTTCCTGACAGACCGACAGACAAACAGAAAGTATGATTTCATAAAGTAGTGCCATAGGAAAATTATAATAAACGTTATACAACTTCGAAGTTATATTTTACTCTATTCATAAAGTAACTTCTTCATTCTATTTTTGTACCCAGAATAAATTTCAAATGTGCCCAAACAAGGCCCAAACACAAAATCATTATTTTAAAGATCACAGAGATCTTGCGGGACAAATAATTGCCCATCTTGAAAGAAAAAACTTAATTAAAAACACTTTGTCTTGAAGAAGTTGTATGAAACGTTCTTCTGTGAAACAGCCCATATAATATGACGTGCTAATAGTCCTGCTCATATATGTTTTTGAGTCATGAGCAAAAAAACAAAACTGCCAATCTTTAGAAGATCTAACTTATTTATTTTTCCAAAAAAAACATGCATTTTTATCAGCATTTGATATTAGTCGTTTTAAAAATCCAAAATTAAAACCAGAGCTTATTAAAACAAGTGAAATATTTAGCTTTGACAGTTAGTTACTCAACGCCAGGAGTAAAACGTAAAATAGATAATGAATTCCGAGTGCAATTTAAATTTGAAATCGCTCCAAAGTAATTCTCCCCGATCTGGAATGCCTCAACTAAGTGCAAAACTACAAGGAGAGCAAATCCTACAAAACGCGCTGTTATTAACCGAAATGGGTATGGACCTTAAGGAACAGACCATGTCCGGCCAAAAGTACGTCTCCTGTTTGAGAAGCATGACGCTGCGTGCAGCGAAAATAATGAGCGTCTTGCAGTCCTCTTCGAAGACGTTTCTATCCCTCGCCCAAAAGGTACTACAGTCGGGGCTCGAATCCACTCCGTGCCACGATCAAACGTACCTAACGGTCAAGTCAGACTACGAAAAGTTATTAAACATCATCGAGAAAGAATTGGGAGAAATCGACGAGATCGACAATGTAAATTCTCCGACTTCGCCTTGCGGAACGGGAAGTACAGTCGCCGAAAGACTCAAGTGCCTGGAGGAGAAACAAAAATCATCATCGGACAATTGCTTGTTGCCGTTGTCAAACAGTGCTCGAAGCGTCAAATCGGATGTCGACGAGAAGTATCCGGAGAATTTGTCGAGGGAGTCCCTCATCGATTTGAATAACGTAGTCAATCTGCCGACTGTACCGGAGGATATGTTTACTGGGTTTACGAATAAGCCGACGAGAACGTCTAGCTTATCGTCACTTAAGAGCATGAGAAAAGTGAAGCTTTTTCTGCAAAGAGCTTCCAGTGCATCGGACGAAGATGACGAGAGTTCGGAAGCGGACGAGCATGATTATAACAAACCTACTGCTGTGAGTAGCTATCCTCTGTTACACTTACGGTGGGATTTGAAACTTGTTAGTTTGGAAGAAGTATTTTAATGAGTAGGTAACCCTTTTTAGGGTGGAGGTCGAGTGAAATTGTAAGAACAGAGTGCAAATTTAAGTTTTTACGGTTCCTTTCATTTTAATTTCGTTGACACTTGAGGATGTACAGGTCTCTAAAGCGCGCAGCAAAAGGTCTTTTCAAATTCCCTGCTGATTGATCAATTTTCCTTCCAGTTCTTTCAATTAGATCTTTATGTTAGATTAGAACTCTTGAGGAGTCCTAAAAGAAGTACGAACATGTTTGGTTCAGCATTATGTATGTTTAAAGAATACTAAAATACTTACTATATTTCGTGGAGATAGAATGGAGTTTGCGAGAGTTACGAGAGTAATAGGGATCTTTCATTTTGGACCTTCTAAGGCAACCATTTTTCAAACGAAAAAAAATGGTGGCGCATTTTTTACCCCAATACAATACCTCTCAAATACTAACGTGCGGGTGGTAAAAAATGGCATGCACGTATGAGCAATAGATTTTTGCATATAAAGAGGTTAGTCATCCCTTCTTTGAAATCAAATTTCGATATGACTAATATGAATTCGACTCTTTTTAGCAAAATAATTAACTGGTCTACTATGAACATGGGTTTAATCAACATTTCTCCTTTTCTCTCTTGTTGCTTGCTAACCAAATTAAACGCAAAATTACCATAAAGCTTTGAATATATTAACGAAAAAACCAATAACGCAATTTTCACTTTCCTTCCTTGATTTTCCCTTGGATTTTGAACTTAAAATATTTATCTATTTTGTGACCACGATCTTTTGAACTACCAGTCTGTCACTGCACTTACGGTGGGATTCGAAACTTGCTAGTTTGGAAGAAGTATTTTAATGAGTAACCCTTTTTAGGGTGGAGGTCGAGTGAAATTGTAAGAACAGGGTGCAAATTTAATTTTTTACGTTTCCTTTCATTTTAAATTCGTCTGACACTTGAGGAAGTACACTTCCAAAATGCATAAAAGGTCTTTTCAAATCCCTGTTTTTGTGTCAATTTTCCTTTCAAGGTTTTATTTATGCGATCGTTGGAGAATGTGTTTAATCAGTTTTTCTTTTTCTAATGAATAAGTTTGAATTGAGTTACAAGGGTAATGTTCTTTCAGACTTCTATTTTTCAAACGCATTTTTTCAAAATACCTCTCAAATACTAACGTGCGGGTGGTAAAAAATGGCATGCACGTATGAGCAATAGATTTTTGCATATAAAGAGGGTAGTCATCTCTTCTTTGAAATCAAATTTCGAAATGACTAATATGAATTCGACTCTTTTTAGCAAAATAATTAACTGGTCTACTATGAACATGGGTTTAATCACCATTTCTCCTTTTCTCTCTTGTTGCTTGTTAACCAAATTAAACGCAAAATTACCATAAAGCTTTGAATATATTAACGAAAAAACCAATAACGCAATTTTCACTTTCCTTCCTTGATTTTCCCTTGGATTTTGAACTTAAAATATTTATCTATTTTGTGACCACGATCTTTTGAACTACCAGTAATTCAATATCAAACACAATAACAGTACAGTATAGGGCAAAAGTTTATATACAAAATTCACCTTATAGCTAGTCAAATTGGAATCAACCTTAAATGAAGAACTAATTTTTTATATCAGATCAACAATAAGTTCACATATGATAAAATCATGTAATACCAACGGCTTCAATTTGCCAACAGATTGATATCTTTAAGAAAGCAAATACAACAGTTTGTTGTTAACGGGTTTTTAAATGGTTCTGAAAGTTCTTTTAGTACCACAAAAGCAGAAATGTTTACTAAGCAAAAATTTTGCACATTTAAATAAGTGGTCCACAGCCGGTTAGGTTTTATTTATGCGTCGAGAATGTGTTTAATCAGTTTTTCTTTTTGCTAATTGCCCAATATAACTCCTTCTTGAGTGTAAGTTCCAAAACAAACAGGGTTAATTAAATCACTTATAGTTTGTAGCTTTTTCAACTGTAAAATTGACGGTACTTGCGTGACGATTTCAGTTTCAAGGAATGCCCAAAATAAAAATACCTGGTTACGAACCGAATTTTATTCGTATTTTTACTCGTAGTTGGTTTTATGGTTCGAACAAATATAGCACTTTCACTCTGGCGATCCCGGAACGAAAATTGGTTGTATAAATCAATCCATTTACTTTTATTTATTTTTTGCCTTTGGTTTTTTACCACACATACGAAACAAGTATGAATTGTGCACAACTCTTGTGCAGATAAAACGCATTTTTTAACCGAAATAGCTTTTGTTTTGACATCATCAATGGATATATTTCTTACAGACCTCTCAATCGCCCTTTGTGAGTACCCTCTTCCGACAATCCTTTCTTGAGGTATAAGGGAATATACCCGATCACGATAAGAGGTCGAGGAGGAGGGCTATGGTTAGTAGAAATTAATTCCTTTCGTTGAGACCTTCATTAGAATACCATGAGGGCGAAACTGAGAGATAAAATTAATTGTTAACCCCCCCCCCCCAAGCCCCGTCGCTCACTAATCTCGAAAAAGAGTCGCACGGGAAAGTTATAGTTTGTACAAACCAATTTATTTCGATGAGACCTTTCATTAGAATATCATGATGGGTAGAATATGTGTTACCCCTAAAGGTATGCGTACGCAAAATCTGAGACCAATTGGTTGTCGTATGTAAAAGTTATGCACGTTTTACTTTCAAAAACAGCATCTCAGGAAATAATTCGTGGGGGGGGGGGCCTTTAAGACAGCGTAATTTGATGGTTTGATGGCACACCTTCAAGGTATAGGCTACCTACTGCAAAAAATGTTAGGACTCTAGGACCATTCCTTTAGAAGTAGTTCGAAACGGCAGAAGTGGGTACGGACGGACGGACAAAACGCAAACATATGCACATTTTTTTTAATTTTAAAAAAATGCGCTAAAGAGTTTCGAACATTAATTATTTCTTCTTCTGTAGAAGGTAAGAGTTAATCCTAGGGTTGATCAGTGTATTATATATTTTTAGCGCATTTTCCAACGAACTATTGCAGCCAGTTTCTCTGTCCGTCTGTCCGAGGCCTTAACTACTCCAGTTTTCAAGATATTAAGTTTGTTCTTTTTGCATTCGAGTGTGTAGTATAGGTCTGGCACTTGGGGCAAGGAAAATCGTGACGATACTGCACAATGTCAACTTTCTTATTTATTAATATATATTTTTTGTTGGAATTTTAACTACAGATACTTATAATAATAAATGCAAGCATATGGCATATAGTAAAAATCTAATGTGCGCATGTGCAGACTGCGCAATGCCAAGTTTCTTATTTCTGGAGATATTTCTTTGAAATTTTAACCAAACATGCTTTTAGTAAAAGCAAACATATCGCATATTGTTAACATGTGCCCAGGTTGCGCAATATCAACTGTCTTATTTATCGAGATATCTTTTTGAAATTTTGCCCACGGACACGGAGGCCATCGCAGATGCGTCTGTTAAAGGCAAACATAGATGTTTTAGGGTTCTTGCAAAATAAGAAGTAGTTCCATTTGATTAATGCGTCCGGCTCTCGTACCTACTATATTCTCTAGTATTACTATATGCTCATTGCTCTACCTACATACACTATATTTGGATAGTGTCTCGAGACCAGGCGAGACCAAACGAGACTAGACGAGACGAGACGAGACGAGACGAGACTGAACCAGGACGAGACGAGACTCAGACTTGGTCTCGTCTCGAGGTAACGAGACGAGACGAGACTTTCGAAAGTCTCGTCTCGTCTCGTCTCGCGGCAACACTATTTGGGAACCGCGAAATTTGAAATTGAACAACAGTTGGAAAGTACGTGTATAAAGTAGGTATATGTATTTTGTAATCTTGGATTGTGCGGATACTTTTGGATGGGGCAAGTTTTGTGAGCGTATCGTTTAATAGCCTAGAGTCGCATCGCTTTTTCAATCGTTTCACCGCTCCACATAAAACCCTTGTGTGTACCTACCGTATTCTAAATATTTTAATTGATCTTCATTAAAAGTTTTCGAAAAATTGTCATCGCGTCTGAGTAATTTCTTTTTTCGGTTTCTGTTTTCTTGCAAAAGTGCTTAGATGCGCTTCTCTAATGAATCAATGGTTACATCGGTACCCTCCACTCTTTGGCTCAATTAGTAGTTTGCTTTTGTCTAATACACTGGCCTAATGAATCGCGTTACTTTAGTAATCTAGGGACTAGGTACATTTGACTATCGTAGACAGTCATAAGAATCAAATTTTTCGACCCCTCACCCCTTGTGCTTCCCCCGTACCATCTCCAAAACTCCTGAAATTTGGTTGGTTTCGTAGTTTTTCAATCATACCTTTTTAATATAATATTTTAGAAAAAAATATTTTTATCAGAAATTGTAGACCATAAAATTCTACACAACTGATATACCTACACTACTTTTTTTGTGAAATTTCTAGTTTTTTAGTTATAGTTGCACTAACAAAATTAAGCCTTGCTTAAAGTTAAGTCGAACTTAAAATCTATGGAAACGATTATTAAGACAATCATTGCTATGTTATTTAAGTTATGCTTAACTTTAAGGGATAGGTACTTAATTTTGACGATGCAATTGGCCCGTAGAGATTCAAAGTTTTTTTTTTTAATTCTGAAATGTCTAATGTACAATGTTTTAACAAAATTTTATACTTTATAATTATCATTACGTTCTATGAGAAAATATCTTGAACCCGCACCCTGTACCTTTACCAAAGAGGATGCATAATAGTTTAATTTTCAACCCTTGCTAGTGGTGATATTTGAATCACTGTGATATTGTAGCGCTTTCTAATATACGTTTGAAATTAAAAAAATTGTCTTTTTTTTTGGTTTTAGGGGTGGTACGGGGAAAGTACAAGGGATGGGAGGTCGAAAAATTGGATTCTTAGCCACCCAGATATTCCGCCATGACATGCAAAAAAATTGGAACTACCTTGCTCGTTTTGCATCAGAAAATGGTCCATTTTCGGTCTCTATTCCCCGGACTACAACGCCGACATGATCTTTTGATGGACCATAACGTCGACTAGGGACAGCCGGTTTTAGACGTTAAAATTCTACATGTACCTACGTATTTCTACATGTAGAAATATACAGGGATAGTAGATTGGACCCCGCGAACTTCGTATCGCTTTTGGGAAATCTCGTTTTCTTGGACGGAACATAGACTCGGTTTTTTGAAGCTGCGTCGCCTCACCTCGTAGATCCGGCGAACTATACAGGGTGGTGACTTGCGTAGCGCGTCATAGGGATTTCAATGTAAAATTCATAACATGCGATTATTGGCTCCCCAAATTATTTTAGAGCAAAAATGGATGAAGGTTTTTTGTAGAAGAAAAATTTTTACGTCAATCAACCGTATTAGTTTTCAATTTTTTTTATATATAAAGACGGAAAATTGGAAAAATAAAACCCGATCCGCATCTTTTTCAATAATCTGCGATGCCATGGAATTTTCTAAAACAAAAAGATATCCTGTCAATTAGCAGCAGTTCGAAATGGATTTTATGATCGACTTGGTTACTGTCTTGCAGTTAATGGTGACTTATTCGAACATTTATTGTAAATTGTTATATTAGAAACCGTTTTTATTAATTTGGTCGTTGAATTCGCTGTTCTAAATATAATAGTTTTTGATAGAATTTGATTTGTTTTATAGCAGACATTCCATGGCATGACGGATATTGACGTAATTTTTGTATTATAAAATTCCATGGCATCACAGATTATTGAAAAAGATGGGGGTTTATTTTTCCAATTTTCCGTCTTTATTATGCAAAAAATTGAAAACTACGGTTAATTGACGTAAACAATTTTTTCCTACAAAAAACCTTAATACATTGTTGCTCTAAAATAATTTGGGGAGTCAATAATCGCATGTTATGAATTTTACATTGAAATCCCTATGATGCGTTACGCAAGTCACCACCCTGTATAATCACCTTGTGATATGGAATACTTTACGACCTATTCTCATACCTACCAAATCAAAAAAATTCATAAAAATCGGTCGAACCATATCGGAGGAATTTTAATAAAGTTTCAAATGTCTCATTGTCCATGCGCAAAAAATTGTTCAAATCATGAGGCGTTTCCAAATCTCTAAGTAAAGTCATATGAGAGTACTTTTGGAGTGCGACCACAACACCGCCTTGACACGAGATTTTTAGATAATTATTAGATAGCTTTTATTCTTCTATTATAAGCTTTTCGATCATATCTATTTTTGAGAACCATGTCAATTGCCTTTCCTTGCTCCGTGAGACTTTATGCAATTTGTTGTTTTATAGAACTTGCATACCTACATACAGTGTGTCCCCGGATGGACTCAACAAAAGGGAAAAAATTTTTAATTTTAACTCTACGCAAAAATGCCATTCTACTTTTTCTTAAGCTCTAAGGTGTCTTTTTTAACTTGATTTGCTTATTAGGTTTTGCCATGGAAGATACAATGATAGTCTGATTTAATCAAAAACATGCAACTTAGAAAAATTTCCGCTGTAGATTTTGCGTTTTTTGTAATTTTCTCAGCTGCTAAAAGGAATATCTAGATTTTTATTTCAGAATAGGTGGCTTTGAGGCAAGCAAAAATTTTTACAAGGAATGACATTTTTGCGTAAAGTTAAAATTAAAAATTTTTTCGCTCTTGTTCAGTCCATCCGGGGATACATCTGTATATAATCGGGTAGTATGGCTTCGAACGTTTCCCACGTGCTTTTGATCTCTACACAATTTTTTCTATACTTTTCAAACAGTAGGTAAGGTACTTATATACTTTAGACGGTAATCACTCTGTAGTTGTTACATAATAATTATTGTAAAATCCGTTTCGGAGGATTTATATTCCTCATTTCGAATCTTCTGGTCTCGTGGTTTCGAACTATAAATAAATCACTTTTTTGAGCACCCCTTTCCTTATTTTTCCCAGGTCTGAACATTTCTAGTTTGCCATGCCCTGCCCTCTTTTATTCTTTCTAGGTCTTTGCTACTTATTCTCTGTCTCTAGTCTCTAACTCTTTCTTCGTCATTTTCTCATACTGCAATGTTTCTTTCTTCGTCAAACTTTTGTTAACCATTTCCGTTGAGGGGTTCCCCAAAGCGTGGTCTCCACCTTGACATGATCTGACTGCTTTCTGCAATTGGTTTTCAATTTTCGTCTTAAACAGTTACTGTATTCTGATACGATATCGAGCTCAATTAAACGATCTGTACTTTAAATTTAGGGGTGATAAAAGCTTTCCTTCCACCCTTTACATTAACCTTTTCTTCTGCCAAACCGTTAAACACATTGTTCAAAAAGCTTCTTCCAAACATGCAAGTAAAGATTCCCACCTCGGTGGGGAAAATGTATTTCACTCACATTTCTTTATACTAATATAGGGCGATTATGAAGAAGGGAAAGGAGTAACTTACATGTCTCCGAAAAAGATACACCTAGGTAACATAACAGAAGAAGCCCAACAAGACTAATTTTTTATTCTTCTTACAAAAGTACAATAAACTGTAAAAAACATACAAATGTCAATAGTTTGATAAGCAATCATATAAATAAATTAATAATCAAAACGAATCATTATTATAAAACTCTCGTGACATGCTACTAGACATCGACGCATCGATATTTCTGTCATTTGGGTAAGGTTCGTAAACTGACTTTATCAAAGAGTATGTGCACCATAGCACGAAGATAATGAAAAATAGTGCCAGGAGGCTAAACCCGAAAAACTTTGTCAAAAGAATGATCAATATCGAATAGAATATCACCCAAAAATTGGCAAGGAATCTTAAACTAATCCTCGGCGGTAAGTCTTCGGATACACGTTTCGGCGCACCCGGTGAAGATTTGTCAAATGTGTAGATTCGTAGAGGCGGGCATAGAATTTGTCGCAGAAAGAATCCCAGCCACGTGTTGGTGTTGTACCAGTCTCGCATTTCCGATCCGTACTGTAAAACAATATTTCATTAATACATTTTTGAATAATGTTTCTATTGAGACAAATTTACCAGACTCTTTCGATACAAAAATGTATGTTGTGTTTCAAGCAATCGATTTTTAATTTAATTTTGAGCAACAGGTTAGGTTGGTAGTGTATAGTCTCTACTGAAACCCCGCCCACTTATAAATAAAAAAATAAAATAAAATAAATATTTTCTTTCAACCATTACAATACAGAGGATGCGGGGAATCTCTTTTCGTTCTTATAGATAGATGAGGAACAGACAGACAGATGGGCGGACAGATGGACAAAAACTTCACGTAGGGAAATTTCTTTCGAAAATTCTGACATTTGAATATAAGCACAAATATAGATTTATACTGATCCGAAACACTGTGTTTACTTTGGGAGCAGTACAACCTAATGATAGGTCACACATCTTAAAATGGGTAATCCAAATACAACTTAGTAATGTGCGAAATGTATGGCTGAAGCGAAACGACTCACCTTAGAATTAACCTTCACTGACAACCGATAAAGCATTCTAACTAATGCTTTTACTTCATGTGACTGAATCGGTCGCAAGTCCGGGTCTCCCTCATATTTAATTTTCTTAATACGCGCCATCAGCTGGCGTGGATTACTCAGGGGACCTTCGCCCGACTTTAACGGCACCGTGTCGAATGACGTTTGTGGAGTTACCTAAAATTCACATTCCGTCAGTTGCAATTACCAGATTTACTTACATATTCGGTTATTTGAAACATCTCGACTAGCAACTTTAATGAGTAGTCAAGGTAGATGGGCACTTTCTTGCGATCCTCCTCGTTGTAGTCGTTGTGTAAATATTCATTTATGTTCAATTTCGATATCAAAGACAGGAAAAACCCACGTTGCTCCTTTTCACGTACATGCATTTGCACATTATTCAACGCTACGCGTTGGGCGTTTTGTATATGGGATATTAACTCGAGTACTTCACTCGCAACTGGTGGAATAAACATCGGCTTGTAACAGAAGTGAGAGCCCTCATACTCCAGTATTCGTTGTCTGACGATATTTCCCCATTTACCCCCAAAACCTCCGTAGGGCGTCTGGGAAGAATTGACTGTATCCTTCCAGTGAATTTGCGTGTCTGAGTACTGACTGTTATTGGTCGACCATTTGGATGTGGGTGATAATGGAGGTAGACCGTGAGAGGTAGGTGAATGATAGGGATGTATAGGTGAGGTGACGGTTACTTGCTGGATTGCTTCTTCGATATCGCGCAGGTAGGATATCAAATGAGGCTGTCCGAAAACCTAAAGAAAATTTTATGATAAGACTATACAGGGTGGTGACTTGCGTCACGCATCATACGGATTTCAATGTAAAATTCATAACATGGCATTATTGGTTCCCCAAATTATTTTAGAGCAAAAATGTATTAACGTTTTTTGTAGGAAAAAATTTTTTACGTCAATAAACCGTATTAGTTTTCAATTTTTTACATAATAAAGACGGAAAATTGGAAAAATAAAACCCGCATCAAATAAAAAAAGATATCCAGTTACCAATTAGCAGCAGTTCGAAATGGATTTTATGATCGACTTGGTTACTGTCTTGCAGTTAATGGTGACTTATTCGAACATTTATTGTAAATTGTTATATTAGGAAACCGTTTTTAGTAATTTGGTCTTTATGTTAAATTCGCTGTTCTAAATGTAATACTTTTTGATAGAATTTGATTTGTTTTATAGCAGACATTCCATGGCGTGACGGATATTGGCGTATTTTTTTTTGTATTATAAAATTCCATGGCATCACAGATTATTGAAAAAGATGGGGTTTTATTTTTCCAATTTTCCGTCTTTCTTATGCAAAAAATTGAAAACCAATACGATTGATTGACGTAAAAATTTTTTTTCTACAAAAAACCTTAATACATTTTTGCTCTAAAATAATTTGGGGAGCCAATAATCGCATGTTATGAATTTTACATTGAAATCCCTATGGTGCGTTACGCCAGTCACCACCCTGTATAATATGTTGCACATAAGTAAATAAAAAATTAAGTGGTTGAAAGGTTCAGATGTTTTCTGCTTGTTCTCTCTATCACTCATTCATTTTTTAATTCTTTGTTGCATCATGTATAAATAAGTTTTATTCGCTTACCTTACATGTTCTATATAATATCAACGCAATTTTTGGACTGGCCAAATCAACTTTGTTGAATCGTGGGAGTAACTGTTGCAGTAGAACCGTGTAAGCTAAAAGGTTTTCGGCCAAGAATGTCATGTGATCTCTTGTAACGCCACTTGTTGATGTATTGAGGTCTTCATTATCAATATTAGCATCCACTTGATTTCTGCAAAAAGATATTTGTGGTGTGGGGTAGTTTCTGTTTATCGTCGCCTATAATACAAAACTTTGTTTTATAACAAAAGCCATAAATCATTATAAAATTCTAAAAATTCTGAATTTAATTTAGACTTCAAAAATAGGTAGTCTAGGCTCTCATCCCGTCGTTTCCATGGAAACAATCATGTTTACAAGAAAGGAGCATATCAAATGAAATGCATGAGAGTAAATGTAGACGGAAGTGCCGCCATTTGTGCACCAATATGTTGAGTCACTTTTGTTCACTGATCACTTGATCAGTGATTGCATAATTTAATCTGAATTTTGGGTGTTTGTAGTTTGCGTTGTTTTTATATTATACAGGGTGTTACATATAAGTATGTAAAATTTGGGTGGTAGAGGGCATCAAAATAAGCACTTTTTCCAAATAAACCGAGGGTCCAAACTGTTTCGTTTGGGAGCCACCCCCACAAAAGTGGTGAAATTTGCATTTATTCTTTAATTTTTTTCTCGCCAACTATAAGAGTTAGGAAAACTGGTGGCACGTCTTTGAATAGGTTTTCGGGTATGCCCTTTCTGATTTTGCGAAAATGTTTTTCAACATTCTTGCCACGAAAGGGCGCACCCCCTAAACGAGGGCGCGAAAAAAATTCCGATTTCAACGAAATTTGGTATCTGGGGGTTTTTCAACATGAAAATCACAAAATGAAATTAGTTTTTGAAAATTTGAAAGAAAAATTCCACTGTCATTCTTGGTTGGACAACGAAAATGGAGAGAATTCCACGAAATTCGTTGTGTTCATACTTGATAAATTAAAAAACAAAATTGTCAATCAGTTTTTTAAAATCACTTTTCAAATAAAAGTTATAGTCATTTGAAGATTGGGCTTCCGGGTTACGAAGTGTCCCCCGACTACTAGTGAGTGAGAAATAAATAAATAAAATGTCGCAAATAACAAAAATATATCGATTTAAGTCGATTTACAAGGGACAACCAAACAATCAGGGGCGTTATAAATATGTAACTAAAAAAAATTGGGAGCTACGTCCCCAAAAGTTCCGAAATATATGTTTCTTCCTTAGTTTCTTCTGGGGAACGATAAAAAATAGAAGGGAAGACGTTGCGGGGGGTGCAAAAAAGTGCAGATGTCAACAAAGTTTAGGTACAGTCGACTCTTGGTAATTCAAACTTTTAGTAATTCAAAACTCTCGATAATTCAAAGTGTTTTGCTTTCCCCGTCAACTTCGAATTATAAAGAGTCGACTGTATATGGGGGTTTTTCAACAAATGTAGTCCATAATCCACTTTTAAGAACTTAAAACCTTCCCCATGAAATTCAATTTATTCTAAAAATTTGATGTTGAGGCCCTAAAAGTTCGGCTTTAATAATAAAACTTGATTTCGGTTAGTCTTCCCTTCAGGACGACGGCTTTTAGCTTGCGCGGTTGGAGTGTTCCCCGTCAGGGTTCATCTTCCGTTTTCACTTGTTTATATCATGGACTTTGTACCGTTAACGGTAGTTTTAAGATTGTAAGTTTTGTCGCCATTTGATTCTTATCAAATTTGTTAAAGCCGAACTTTTAGGACCTGATGATGGCTTGTTAGCCGAAACATGTCGCCTTAGCCTTATTTTTCAACATCAAATTTTTTGAATAAATTGAATTTTATGGGGAAGGTTTTAAATTCTTAAACGTGGATTATCATTGCACCCCATTTCGAGTTATAGAAGGAAAAATGGATACCCAACGAAATGTAGTCCATTATATGTGCGGCAACGCTAAATATGTCCCAACGGATATTTTTTTAAGTGAGCCATATGCTCTTTAAAACGAATTTTCAATGATTTTTTCGTTTGTCCAATGTGCACTTGATTAGAACCTTTACAATATGATATTTTGTATATTCTTGATTTATATATTTAGAAAACTTATGATATCTAGCATGCCGTGTGCTGTCAGGATGCGCAGTATCTGTTGCGGCGGGATCGTATCGCGTAAAAATATCTTCAAAACTGAACTTTGTTGATTTAGGTCTTTTCTGTGTAACACAGCAGATACAGAGCATCTTGACAGCACACGCCATGCTACATTTCATTAGTTTTCTAAATATTGAATAACGAATTTCTCCCTTTTTTGTATCTGAACCATATGGTTATTTAATGTTGACGTACAGCAAATTGATTGCTCTTTTCAAACATCTTGAAAAAACATACGCATTGCATTGGAAAAACAAAAGTTGTCTCCAATTCCGAGTGATACCGAAAATTTCAATATGGGATCGGATAGATCATAACTGGCACATACAAAATTAAATTTGATAAACTGTCATATTTCGTCAAATAAAAGAGATATTTAGGTGACCACCTCATCTCGAACATACTGTATAATGGGTTACGGTTTCAAAATAATAATTAACTTACCTGCTTAACACAAACATTTAGTGCAATGACATTTTATCAATGCTTTCTGTTTCACATCATGCTATACCTTTTTCAGATACTTACTGCTTTTATTACACTTACAACCAATGGCAGAAATGCTCGATTTCCGAATAAGATTTTGAATGGTGTACTTTTGTTGCGCATGGGCCATTTTTGGTGTTTTTACCTTAGCTCACAAAAGCCGAGATATGCACTATAGACCTAAATAGTGATATCAGGACCTCCTAAATAGCTTGTAATTCTGATATGACTCATGAGGTGATTCCAAGCAGTGGGGAAAGGGGAGGGCAAAGGTTGTGTGAGGCATATTAAAAACTTACAGCTTCAGATAATCAGGTAAATAACGCCAAGGCTGAATGAAGCTAAACCAGAGTTCGAGTACAAGACGAAACGATCCATCCAATGGCCAGCTATAAATGAGATGCCGCAACAGCACATAAATCTTTCCCTGTAAACATGGAATAACAATTCGTTTTAGGTCACCCAAGTGTGTATCGTCAGCTCTTGCGCTATTCGCAAAGGCGTGCAGGTGCTTCACTAAAACGCGTACAATTCGTATATACTCAGTCGATGGCATCTCATTCCGTTGAAACATGTCCTAAAAATAACTTTAAAAGTACAACTGAGAGCTATTTATCTTTACCTTAAATGCAGTGCTAAAGTTACTATCAAAATTGTAACTGGAATTTAAAAGACGATCGCTGCCAAACCACATGTCAATAAAAACAGTCATAACAGTCTCACTTCGCCACACTTCGTTTCTGGGATGATGCTGTACAGACTCCACAGTGTTCACATTGAAAAGATCTGCTCGCAATAATTTCGATACCTTCGCAGGTCTACAAGCACAATTGCTAGAATAACTGTGACAGAACCTAAGCTATACTTATTCAACGATGGCAAAGTGTAATACGGATTTTTTCCATGGTAAAAGTTTAAATTCGGTAAAATTTTCGTACTGGGATCGTTTGGTAGGTAGTGTCGCAAGTAGTCGCAATACAATGTAAAGTAAACGGTCTCCCAATGGACGGTATCCGAACTTTGACCAAAATGAATTGGATTAATTAAATGGTAGGCAAAATGAAAGAAATAGTAATCAAACGGATCTGCAAACGTACCGTTAGGATAATTCGATTTTTACAACACTTACTTAGCATCAATGAGACGGTCTGGTTGGTTTGTAAATCTACATTAATCATGTCCATATAGAACGGATGTGTTGTTGAAGGGTTTGTGTTTTCACGCACTTTCATCTAGAAACGCATACAGAATTATGTAGCACTTTGTGTCAGTAGACTTACCGGTAAATAATTTAAATTGAAATTGAATTTCACCAAGGGATCTTTCAGTAGAGTGTAAATGAGTTTGAAAATGGGACCGAGTGGACTTAAAAACTGTCTGACGGCATTGTAGGTCCTCAACGAATTGCTTTCAGTAATGCCTCGTAAGTTCCAACATTCCTTACTGAGTGGACCGAATATACTATCAATTAGCATGGGATAAATGGAGTGCAAGTCCTTTAAGTTCGCACGGTCAATGAAGACCGCAAGCTCGCCGCAGCGTTCGTCGATGTTCTTCAGCAACGCTTCGCCGAAATTTGCCTAAAACAGTGGTGTATTATTACCGCTTTTTATCGAAACGTGAACAGGTTACCATAAAACTCTCCTGTTGTGGATAAAACATTTTCTTTACGAGATAAACTAGGCGAGGTTATGTTTAGATTTGAAGAAGAATTTGAGGCACGGTGCAGTAGCACTATTCTGATTCATTTGAACTACTACCAACTATTTGGACGGGTATTTTGAAATTGATTGAATCTGAATGTAGAATATCGATCATAAAATAGTTCAGACTTAAAAGTAAAACTACGCAATGTAAAACAAATTTATCTTCTTCGTTTATTTAAATTTGGCTAGTTTTCGTTTCGCATTTGAACTGCTGGGAAAAGTTGCAGGTGGGAATTTTGAACCGTTTAGTCTGGCAACACTGCATGTGTTTTATATTTAGAATAAAAATGGCCACCGTAACAACAAGACCCAACATACGAATAGAAATACAAAATAATTTAGTGGAACCTATGGAAGTCGACGATGGGGAGGCACAACAAGAAACTGAATTTGAAGACGGCGAAATTACGGAAGATCCTAGAACTCAACCGGTACCGGAAAGCAACACTTCTAGAGTAAGTGCCCAATGCGTGTTTCTTGAGGCTTATTGCGTTGTATATAGATATGGAATAATAAAGAAGGGGGTTTCTCGACTGGTGCAGATATCTTCAACGATAAGGAACAGGAAAAGCTGCAGGATAGGGCGAATCGTTTTGGGTTAACTCCCGAGGAGATTAGTAACTTTACTAATGAGGATCTTCAAAGATTACACAACAGTTTAGGAATATCGGGAAATATTGAAAAGGACGTTAGATTTGAGGCAGTCCACATGCGCGGGACGGAGGAAATGAGCACCGAAGATGTGTTCGAATACTTCGCGAAATATTTGCCGTCGTCCGTCGAATGGATTGACGACGAAAGCTGCAACATTGTTTGGCAGGACAAACTTTCCGCCGCTAGAGCATTGCATTTCACATCTAATGCCGTCAGGGGCATGCCGGTTGACGGACCGTGCGATCCCTTTTCCAAAAACGGCTCGGAGCCTGAAGGGGAATGTCGAAGTATACTACTATCTAATGAAACTCGTTCAATCGAAATTGCGAAAGAACCGGGCGATAATGATGTTAACGACAATGAGGTTAGCATTAGTGATATTTCCGTGCCAATTCCACCCGGATACTGGCGAAGAGGTCTCGATCATCCGAAAAGTAAGGTTCTTTTACTTAGGTTTGCATTTAAAACCGACCGGAAACCTTCGAAGGCGGAACGGTTTAGTGAATATTACAAAAAATATGGCAATCCGAATTTTGGTTTTTTGAAGGGGGTCATTTCTGCTTCGTGCCGAAATAAGTTTAAGGGAATTTTTGATCGTAACAAGGACATAAAAAAGGCAAATGGCAATAGCAAAAATCCTTGGGGAGATTTGGCGGAAAACTGGAATGAAGATGAGCGGTTTAGTGAGCAGGCGTATATAGATGAAACTCTGCCACCGCCTACGGTTGAGCCGGACAGTACTAAAAAGTCGGGTGCTGCTAAGGCAGAAGTGCTAAAACGTCTCGGAACAAAACGGCCCCATATTGAAGAAGCAGATTTAGAGAATAATCAAGGTTCAAAGAAAATAAGTAAAGTGCCCCGAATGAGAATGTACGCAGACGAGGAGGAAGTGAAAATAAAACGAAAGAAGCAACTGTTACAACTGAAACAGCAACAATCGGACGTAAACGATCTTCGTAATATGATAGGTAGTAATAAAAGTAAAATGGATAAGACTGAGGTACACTCTGATAATGATTTGGGGTCCAGATTAAAAAATAGGAAGCAGAAGGAAGAAGAGAATAGAAGAAAGTTGGCGGTGTCTCGGCCAGTTCGCGATTCCTACACTGACAAAAAAGTAAGGCACAAATCTCCCGCCGAACATGAACGACGATCGAGACATCGTGATTCTGTATCAAGAAGGTCACATTATAGGAATAAAATGCATTCAGATCGCTACGAACGACACAGAAGACATCGTTCACAGTCAAACGAAGACTTGGAACACCATAAACCGAAAAGCAAAGTTGCAGTTGTGATAAAAACTCAGAAAAGGCCTACCGTTGCCTCCACCGTATGGTCACGCATAACACCAAAGAAGGAACGCTTGAAGACTGCCTCCGAGCGGCTACAATCCAGACGAGATTCGAGCTCTAGCAGTGAAAGCTCCAGCGCCGATAGTAGCAGCAGTAGCAGCGATAGTGATTCGTCCGATTCCTCCTCCGAGTCGGACGAGGAGAGTAACGATGAGGAGGAGGAGAATAAGAGTCCGGAAACGTCGACTAAAGCTGCTACTCATAGACCTGGATTTACGAATCCATCAGCGCTAGTTAGCGACAGGAAGAGTCCATTGCGGATTGAAATTAACAATGATCATTTTAAGGAGGAATGACATACGTAGAAAATGTGATTCAATTTTATATTCTTTTCGCATTTGTCATGATTGTTTTATTTATACCAATTAAGTATGATGTACATTTTACTATTAAAAATAAATTAGGTTTATTTGTCCCAATTGTTTTATAACAAAGTATCCATAATAATAGGATCTTCTTTCTTCTACACAGTAAATCCACACCATCCGGTATTGTAGAACAGAATCCCTCTTCCACTAAACATTGTAGGTAATTATGCTAATCATAAACTAAAGAAAATAGGGTTCAGAATATAAAATACCGCAAAAGCAATGATAAAAAACGCAGATTTATTTGAAACATTTAAGAAATGGACAAATTGTCTTTGTTGTATCTACCTGAGGGTTAATAGAACGTTTTTCTAAAAATTAAACGTGTGAATTTCTATATGATTTTTGTCCAGCAATTTCGAATTTCCATGTTTATAACCAATTGTTAATATCAATATATCATTATTATTAAAAAAGTTAAAGTTTCCAGTGCTTATTGTTAATCGGAACCAAATCACCTACAATTAAATGGTAAATGAGGGAAAACGCTCAGCATTTCCCTTGCTGACATGTACAATTTTTAAGCGGTGAGGTGGCTTTATACTTGATTTAATGGGAGGACACATTCCCCATTTCACTTTTGCCCAAGTTAATTACTTGTTTACGATTATTTAGTACTTAGTACATCTAAATTAAATAAGTTATCAGTCAATTAAATCTGGTCAGCGTAATGATACATAAAGTGAAAGGTCTTTATTGTAGCTTTGGCACGTTCGATACGTTTAGGCGGTTTAGGATCATCTTTAACGTGTGACGAATTTTCTTGCAAATGCCACAATAAAAATTAACTCGAAAGTTTAATTTAACCAAGCTAAGCAACAACTTTAGGACAAACAGTGATAGTACACAATAAAATGTCAAATAGAGCTGGGCAGAATACTTTCAAAAAGTATTTGAATACTAAATACTTTTACGTCCAGCACAAGCAAATACTAAATACAGATACTTTGAAAAGTATTCAAATACTTTTAAAAATAGGTATTCTAATACTTTCGAATGTATTCGAATACTTTTAAAGTATTCGAATACTTTCAAAGGTATTCGAATACAGTAAAAAGTATTCAAATACTTGTCACTCAAATAGGTACATTAAAAATTTAAAATGGTACTAGATAAAAGTCTTAATACTACTTAAAAAATGTCAAGTTATACCTTGTATGGGGGCTACTTGGAAGAACAGCGTTTTGTGCGCTGAATGTAGTCCCTTTCTCTGAGGTTAGTTTTTTTTTTATATTTCTATTGTTATATACAAATTTAAGAGCAGTAAAAGCGTATTATTATAATATTATTATATATGAGGTACCAGTACCAGAACCTTTCTTATAGTACACCTTACTGAAATTAATCCTAGCGATTTTGAAACAGCTTCTTTTTTGTCCGTCCGAAACGTGCGATCGTTTTGAAAATTGGTGCACATGGTCTTAAGGATATATAAGAAAGCTCCCTATTGCTTTTAAGTTACGTAGTATATCGGGTCAAAAAGTTTCACTCCAGGATCGTTCGGTATTCAGTTGTAACGGATTTTTATATTTCTTTTATGATAATGGAAACTTCCTCTAAAGTTCTCAAATATTTGAATAACTTAAAAGTATTCAAATACTATGCGAAGTAGATATTCGAATACTAAATATTTGCGAAAGTATTTGAGTTACAAATACAAATACTGCTTCCATAAAAGTTCCGGGTCGATCTGAGACAATTTTTTCTTCGGGGCTCAAAAAAGGCAGTGTATAACCCTTTTTTACCAAAAATCGACTACACCAAAATTTCTCGGGATAAACACTTTTTCTTATTAATTTGGGTGCGTAGAATACAAATCAATTCGTACTTTTTCAATCAGACTTCTCAATCAAAAGTTATAGACTAGAAACCAATTTCGAAAAAAAATTCAAAGGGCTGTAACTTTTGAACTAGTAGCCCAATCTTGGAACTGTTTGAAATTATGGATTCTACAGGCCACATTCTATAAGAAAATTTTTTTCCGGGTCGATCTGAGACAATTTTTTTTTCGGGGCTCAAAAAAGGCAGTGTATAACCTTCCTTTTTTACCAAAAATCGACTACACCAAAATTTCTCGGGAAAACACTTTTTCTTATTAATTTGGGTGCGTAGAATCCAAATCAATTCGTACTTTTTCGATCAGACTTCTCAATCAAAAGTTATAGACTAGAAACCAATTTCGAAAAAAAATTCAAAGGGCTGTAACAGTAGCCCAATCTTGGAACTGTTTGAAATTATGGATTCTACAGGCCACATTCTATAAGAAAATTTTTTTCCGGGTCGATCTGAGACAATTTCTTTTTTCGGGGCTCAAAAAAAGACAGTGTATAACCTTCCTTTTTTACCAAAAATCGACTACACCAAAATTTCTCGGGAAAACACTTTTTCTTATTAATTTGGGTGCGTAGAATCCAAATCAATTCGTACTTTTTCGATCAGACTTCTCAATCAAAAGTTATAGACTAGAAACCAATTTGGAAAAAAAATTCAAAGGGCTGTAACAATCTTGGAACTGTTTGAAATTATGGATTCTACAGGCCACATTCTATAAGAAAATTTTTTCTCCGGGTCGATCTGAGACAATTCTTTCTTCGTGACTCAAAAAAAGGCCGTGTATAACCTTCCTTTTTTACCAAAAATCGACTACACCAAAATTTCTCGGGATAAACACTTTTTCTTATTAATTTGGGTGCGTAGAATCCAAATCAATTCATACTTTTTCGATCAGACTTCTCAATCAAAAGTTATAGACTAGAAACCAATTTCGAAAAAAAATTCAAAGGGCTGTAACTTTTGAACTAGTAGCCCAATTTTGGAACTGTTTGAAATTATGGATTCTACAGGCCACATTCTATAAGAAAATTTTTTTCCGGGTCGATCTGAGACAATTTTTTTCGGGGCTCAAAAAAAGGCAGTGTATAACCTTCCTTTTTTACCAAAAATCGACTACACCAAAATTTCTCGGGAAAACACTTTTTCCTATTAATTTTGGTGCGTAGAATCCAAAACAATTCGTACTTTTTCGATTAGACTTCTCAATCAAAAGTTATAGACCAATTTCGAAAAAAAAATCAAAGGGCTGTAACTTTTGAACTAGTAGCCCAATCTTGGAACTGTTTGAAATTATGGATTCTACAGGCCACATTCTATAAGAAAATTTTTTTCCGGGTCGATCTAAGACAATTTTTTTTTCGGGGCTCAAAAAAAGGCAGTGTATAACCTTCCTTTTTTACCAAAAATCGACTGCACCAAAATTTCTCGGAAAACACTTTTTCTTATTAATTTTGGTGCGTAGAATCCAAAACAATTCGTACTTTTTCGATCAGACTTCTCAATCAAAAGTTATAGACTAGAAACCAATTTCGAAAAAAAATTCAAAGGGCTGTAACTTTTGAACTAGTAGCCCAATCTTGGAACTGTTTGAAATTATGGATTCTACAGGCCACATTCTATAAGAAAATTTTTTTCCGGGTCGATCTGAGACAATTTTTTTTCGGGGCTCAAAAAAAGGCAGTGTATAACCTTCCTTTTTTACCAAAAATCGACTACACCAAAATTTCTCGGGAAAACACTTTTTCTTATTAATTTGGGTGCGTAGAATCCAAATCAATTCGTACTTTTTCGATCAGACTTCTCAATCAAAAGTTATAGACTAGAAACCAATTTGGAAAAAAATTCAAAGGGCTGTAACTTTTGAACTAGTAGCCCAATCTTGGAACTGTTTGAAATTATGGATTCTACAGGCCACATTCTATAAGAAAATTTTTACTGTAAAGTATTTGAATACTGAAAAGTATTTACAAAATCGAATACTGCCCAGCTCTGAATTGTCAAACACAATTTAATGATTAATGGTTACCTTTATACGTACATATGTTAGTTCTTGCACCTATATGTTATACTTATTATACCGTTTTCATAATATCTTTTCGAATTTGGGAGACAGAAGTTTCCTTATAGCCTATTCTGCACAGTTTTAAACGATCATTTCTGCGCCATAGTTTTGAAAGAGAATCTTTAAATGAAAGTGACATTTATTATTATATGGTCACAATTTGCTATGACAAGGTATAAATTGATCCTACAATCAAACAATTTTTTAGCCCCAAATGGCGGATTATGATAAGTTGTCGCCACTGTCCTAATACAGTGACTGTAGTCTGAATAAGAAGACTACTGTCATTTCATCTTCATTAATAAATTTATAGAAACCTATTTACCGATACTTTATCTTTTGATTTGAATAACAGCAGCAAATATACCGGGTGGCGCACGGTAAGTAGGAATTTAACATGGGAAATTAGTTTTATGCAATATCCTGCCCTCCTGTTCATTTTACAGAAAAAACTGTAAAGTTTAAAGTTGTTCAGAATTAAAAGGTGCATACAAAGCTGTTTTTACATGTAGCAATTCATAAAACAACAAGTCATGGCTATTGCTACTAATAACAGAAATGCTGAAATTTATTTTTAAATTTGCGGGTATTCCAAAAGCTTAATAAATATACATGCACCTTTTAATTCTGAACAACTTTAAACTCTACAGTGTTTTCTGTAAACTGTACAGGAGGGCAGGATATTGCATAAAACTAATTTCCCATGTTAAATTCCTATGTTCCTACTTACCGTGAACCACCCGGTATAATGTCAAGAGATGATTGTAAGGGGACTCACACACCGAACCAATATGCAACTCGCAACAAGCAATTGAAAATAATATTGGCAATATATGTGTTTCACATTCTTTCATACTCCAATTCTTATACCGACGCAACTTGATATCGTTATCGAATTTTAATTAAGAAGTAGAAAGTAAGGATTTACGTATATTGTTTTTCTCTATGTCCACTTTTAAATGACAATATCCTTCTGAAGGGCGCCCAATTTTATGCAACCAAAATAACTTCGTAAAACAAATAAAGGCTATCATATTAATTAATTTGAATATTGTCGTTTTGGATTCCGTATTTTTATTCTCGTTCGTGTGGGATGGCTTCAACTTGAAGAAAACGTTGATATTGTCAATTGGTATAGTGGCGGTAATAGTTTAAGAAGCGTAAAGCCAAAGCAACAAATTCAAATTAATTAATACGACAGCCAGATCTTTGTTTTAAGCAGTTATTTTGGTTGCATAAAATTAGGCGCCTTTAAGAAGGATTGTGTCATTTAAAAGTAGACATAGGAGAAAACAATATACGTAAATCCTATGTCTTCTTTTTAATAAATAGCACTGTTTATTGCGAGCAGTTTAGCAATATCTAGTGTATAGATTCGTCTTCAAAAACAAACCAAGTATTTATATTGAGTGTATTTTTAGCGCATTTTTGCAAATGGTGGTTTACTAATGTGTCCGATTTTTTTCAAACTGGTGTCGTTGGAAAGATCTTGTAAACGCGCACAACTCCTGCGCATTTTTTTTGTTTTCCTAGGGGCGAAATGAACCACCTTTTGCAAAGGCGGGCGTCTTCGAAGGGTAGTTGACTGCGGGCGCCTAAACGTTACCTTCCACTGCGAATTTTGTCACGTGGTTTAAAGTTTCTGAAGATCATGGTCTCTCTTCTCGCGTCGCCAATAGAAGCTCGAGCTAAGAGAAATGCCCCAAAAATTTAGTACTATTTTGTGGGGGGATTTTGCAAAAAAAAATTTTGCCTCAAACGGTAACATCAAATCAACCGCAATAAAGTTCAAAGTGTTTGAAAAGTACAGTAAGTAAAGGTTGTATGGCCTGTTCATTTGTTTGGTGTAACCGTTTAAATATTAAAGAGTTACTTACACCAAACAAATGAACAATCCATACAACCTTTACTCACTGTACATTTCAAACACTTTCCTTGTAGTTAAATGAGAAATAATAGTACTCCCATAATCCCTTTATAGGGTCATTGTCCTGACAAAATTGGTACATTCACTCTTTTGATGAAATGAAATTATACGACAAAATCAGTTTTTGCACAAGCACGATAAGCTATCACATAGTGAAGCTCCGAAACAGATATGACATGGAAGGACTGATCCATAGCATGTAGGTCAACTGACAGACTTACTGAAAGCGCTTTTACTTTCGTGGGAGAAAGAAATAACAAGAAAATGTATACTTATTACTATATTACATTCAACAACCAACGCAGTAAAAAAATCGCACTACAATTTAGGGCTCAAGTGTAGTCAACATCACCCTCCGTTTAGCAGAAACAGCTCTTGAACTTGATACTCCTAGTTTACTTCCCAAAGAAACTATTTCATTATTGTCTTGCTCTTGTACAGGATCTAAAAATCGTACATTACTCATCACGTTCAAATAACCGCACCCAACCTGATTCCGCTTGCTCCTCCGGAATTGTGTTCGGCAATTGCATACGTTCCAAAACCTGCCTAATATGCAATTCCAGTTGCTCGACATTTTGTACTTCAACAGATGTGGTGAGTTTAATCTTCTCTCCCTCCGTGCTGGATAACATCGAGCGTAAGATGTAACATAGGGATGTTTCTAGAACGTCCTCCCAATTCTAAAATTGAAGTGATAACAAACATTTTGTATTACTACATCGCATACTTGAGTTTCAATATCGTACACGCACGAGCAGAATGTAGTTTCCAAAATAGGCGTTAGGTTTTTATTAACATTCATCAGCCTCATTAACAAAACCATAAGGTGCAATACTGTGGACAGATGAAGTTGGGCCACTTGTAAATTACCAAGTTCCAATTCTAAATCGGTTCCTGTCTGGATGATATCGGTGTAAGTTTGCTGTAGCAGTTTTTCCATGTTTGATAAACTTGTGGGGTTCTTGTCCTTAAATTTCGTGATTAGTCGTTTTTGTATTATGCGAAACTGCCCGCTCAGTTGGATCAATTTTTTCTGTAACCAAGTGATACTTAACTGTCCATTTGATGATTCGAACCTACGCGTAAATCTGCAACTGCTTGGTTTCTTGCGAAATGCTCTCTTACATGTGAGAGAAATTCAACTATTGGCAGTTTGTCATTAAAACTTAAAACAAAGTTGTTCTCATTCGCAAAATGCTTGTTTAATCTTGTAATCAGGCTTTGTACTACTAAGTTAAGGTTCAGCAGTGAGTCGGAAAATACCCGATATTTGTTGGAATGCTTCATTACTGTGACTACCGACTCACATCGGCTTTTTAGTCGAATTTCATTGACCAATGCCGTTTGTCCCTCGGTAAATTCTAAAACAATCGTTTATGATTTGGAAGACCTGTGTTAATTTTACCAGGAAATAGGATCGATAACGGAACAGTCTCCTGATTTATATCCAGTGTTACTTTGCACCTGTTTTCTTTTGCCACTTCAGTTTTGCAAAAAAATAACCTCAGAGGCAACTCAACGGATTTTCTTATTACTTTCGGTACTCCTAAGTTTGTTAAAACAGAGGAAATTACTTCCACATTCAAACTGGGGCAGCATCTAGGTGATGTGTCAACGGATACGTTACTTTCGAAAGTAACTTTGTCCGTTAAACTTCTGTAATACTCAATTTGTTTAGTGCACTTTAGTGGTTTTTGAACGAGGATCGTCACTTGGATTTCTTCCAAAATGACATTGGGTGTTACGCTCACTGAAACAGTGCAGTTTGGGTGGAAATCGGAAGCTTTTGCGCTGAACTGTGGGGTTACTGTGACCGTCATTTGTAGCTCAGTTTCGTTGGTAATGTTGGTCAGTTTGTTATCTAAACTCATTAAATAATATCTACGGCTACAGTCGCGCACTTACCGCTAGAGTAGTAATTTCTGATTATTCGTGTTAAAGAAAGCAGTTCCGCTTCCACTTTTTCATAATCTAGTTCTTGATTGGCAAGTGGAGGGGTCGAAAACAAATGGGGCTGCGTTCCCAAGTAACTGCAGTGGAGATTTCCATCTTCTGATAGTATGACAAGCGCACCGTTTACATTTTTGAACGTTGCTCTCTTTAGCGCAGTGGGAAGGATGGGTAACTGGGCCGACCACTTTAAGGTGGTGTTGAGATAAATGAAGAGATTACCAGTTTCTGATGCAATTAACGTCCACACGCTGTTTTCCACGTCTGAAAAAGATTCTTTGTAGCTAACTCACCGAAAGTATTGGGCCACCTACCTAATGTATAGGCGTGCATGCAGATGGGGGTGTAGTCGAGCTTCTTCACAAATTTTAAGATGCCACTTTCGGATAAACAGAATAGGTGTTTCTCTCCCACGGCTATTATGTAGCCTTCGTTATACGCATCTAGCACATAATGCAAGTCTATGACGTCTTCGCCCACGTTGTACGCCCAATTGTGTGCAATTTTAGTACCGCTGCAGTCGTCCTCGTGGGTATCGTGACCGGCTTCCGAAAGATTTTTGTAGCTGTTGATAGAGGTAAACTCCTGACTTTTCGACTAGGTACATGGGCATTTAGAAAGTTGCGCCTTTATTCTGAACCCGACGCAAAAAGTGTATAGAGCTCATCACAACACTTTTTTTGCATTTAACATTTTTCGCTATGGTGCTCACTTTTCGAGAAAAATGCAAATTTAAAAAAATAAAATAAATAGTGAATTATTTACTTAAATTCATAATTTATCAAAAAGTAAGAAACACAAAAAAATGTAATGCGATTTTTTAAATATTTTTTATGCCACATTAGCCCGTTACGACAAAAATTTCGCGGTTACGACTCCTTTAAATTTTTGAACACCCTCAAAAACCCTGAAGATGGTTAAAGACCTTAAAAGACACCCTTCAGTTAAAAGTTAAGGGGTTTGAGGACAGTTTAGCGATTCTTCCAGCCCCAACTGTACAAGCAGCGCCGCTACAAGCGTCGACTCCAGTTTCCAAGACGTCTCCAAGTCAAACATCCCACTCCCATTCGTTCATTAAACCACTACCGGTAAACAAATGGAACCTACAGTTTTCAGGGGAGGTATCTGATGGGTTATCCTTAATTGCTTTAGAGCGGGACGACCACGCGCGGTAGCGCCATTTAAACCCCTGGTAAAATCTCGATGAACTAAAAAGCGTCGGTGGCGCCATTTAAGCCCCTGGTGGAATCTCGATGAACTAAAAAGCGACGGTGGCGCCATTTAAGCCCCTGGTGGAATCAATTCAATTCTTTTCTTCTAAAAATTCAGTTTTCAGGAGACTTGACCCCAGTTTATGCAAAAAATGAGCACATAGAATTTCTGAGTTTAACAGCAACAATCAACTTCCAATATTCGAAAATCATTCCTCATCCCCTACTAGAAACCTCGAATCATTGTTCCCTGTTGAAAATCTTTTATTAAATAAAATTAACAACGTGAGGCAAGATATCGGCCCCTTGGGAACGGTGTGAGGAAATAATTAAGTAAAGTAATAAATTGATTATTTTAGTACGCAAAAAATTAACTGCTTTGGACCTTTGAGATTTTTCAGTTTCTTCAGGTTGATTTAAACTTGAAATTCTTCAAAATTATTCATTTCTCCTGATTCTGTCAGTTTTAGATTATTTGTATCCTTTAATTCTTTGCAATCTTCCGTTATTGAGAGGGGGTACAGATTGTTTTTTGTTTTATTTCAGTTTTGTTTGGATTCATCAGCACTCAGTTCTTTCAATTCCTTCATGCATTCTTCTGGTTCTTCAAATTCTTGATGTACAAACGCTTTTGATTCTTCAAATCACCTTTAGTGTTCAAAGATTTGTACAGGGTGGCCATTTGAAAACGAAACGGAGCCTATTTTGGGAACCTCAAAACATTTACGAAAAAATCCTCGGACCCGTCAATTTTTGATTCAAGGGGGAACCATTTTTTTGCTAGTTTCGCCCCCCTAAGGACGAGTGATACCTTATTTTGAAGGTATTTTTATGTGGATTATAACCCTTAAGTTTTAAATGGCTACTAATTTGCCTAGCCGATACAGGGGCTAATAAAAGTTAAAAACGTGTCAACATTTTCTTATGAAAAAAATGCTTGTAAATGAATTAGTTAAATAACAAAAATTAATACAACAGTAAATATTTAAAATGTTGTTCTCCTACATTCTGAACCGTACTTGTTGTTGTTTTTGTTCTTTTTAATACCTGTAATTCTGCAACGGAAATCTTGGTTATTGTTGAGAGCGTTACTATAGCAACATTTTGAAGTTTAATAGTGCTTGTCAATTGTTGTTGTCAAATAATAGTAGTGACAAATACACACCTGTCGCTATTGGGCTGATTCAAATCCCAGAATATTTCGGGAGGGGCATATACACAACGTCCCGAAAAATTGAATGTTTGGGCTGGCATTTTTGGTAACCATATCGTAGGCCCCTTCTTTTTACCTGGCAATCTAACAGGAGAGATGTACTTGAAGTTATTAGAAAATACGATTCATCCAGCATTAGTGGAGATACTAGAAAATAACGAGTACTTGAAAAATCGTATAGTATTTCAACAAGATGGTGCGCCAGCCCACTATGCTGCAAGGGTTCGTCAATATTTGGACCAAACGTTTCCAGGACAATGGATTGGAAGAAGAGGAGCTATTGAATGGCCTCCTCGTTCCCTGGACTTAAGTCTGTTAGATTTTTTTTGTGGGGACATTTAAAAACTAAAATTTATGCTAGTCAGCCAACGTCGCTAGAGAACTTGCGTCAAAGAATAATTGATGAATGTCGTGAAATCACCCCAGAAGTTTTGCAAAATGTACGGGAAAGGTTTGAACAAAACCTGTATTATTGTACGGAAGTCGAAGGCCAACATTTCCAACATTTACTTGATTGATTTTAGCTTTAAGCACTTAAAATAAAACTGATTTAAATCTTAAGAGTTATAATCTACATAAAAATACCTTCAAAATAAGGTATCACTCGACCCCCCATTCGATTTAAAATTTTGGGGGCGAAACTAGCAAAAAAATGGTTCCCCCTTGGATCAAAAATTGACGGGTCCGAGGATTTTTCCGTAAATGTTTTGAGGTCCCCAAAATAGGCTCTGTTTCGTTTTCAAATGGCCACCCTGTATATGGTTAGTTCATTATCATTTGGATCCTTTCGGTTCATCAGCTTCTTGAAGGTGTGCCAGATGGCCATCAAATTTTGCTGTCTCAAGCCCCCCCCCCCCCTTCCCCCATGAATTATTTCCTGAGATGCTGTTTTTGAATGTAAAACATATATACCCAAGAACCTAACTATTTTACCCCTCTATATGTTCACAATGTTAGTATCTAAGTATGGCACCTGGCATTAATCGAACAAAATAAAAATGTACATATTTACCTGAAATTTGTAAGATGCCACGTTGAGGACATTGTTAAAAAGGCATCTGTCTTCTTAATGTATATCAGTGGTCCAGGAAGCAGAAACTGTGGTAGAAAGCAACAGAAAGCGAAACTTTCCTGTTCAAAAAATATCAAAAGACCGTCAAGAGACTGTATGCAAATGAAATCACGGGTGAAAGAACCTCCGAATGGACCCACACAGAAGTTGGCAGCAGATCTCTTCAACTTATGCTCGTAAATTATTGGTAGCATATTTTGAGTGCCTGCAAGCAGTCTCTAAACAACTATTAACACGTCAAGTTATTACCATGTTCTGTTGCACCTTCTTTGCTCACAAAGCCATAAACTGAAATGGTTCTAGGATACAAAACTGCTATGTACGTCTTTGTTGACCCACTGCAAATACCACCTACATAACAATAGTGGTGTGTCACAAACTATACTTACGACACCAAACGTCCAGTTGAAATTTGCAAGATTGGATCTGCAAAAATTTTCTCAATAAGCAAATCGGACGGTTGAAACTCGTTGACCGCATTTTCCCCATTTAATTCTGTCCCCGATTGAAAAATTCTCAAAATGCCACTGTGACTGCCGATGATTATTTTATCAAAGTGGTCGCCGAGATGCGCGAGATGTAGGCAATTTTGATCAAACTTTTCGTCAACATCGCAGAACGTCGACCAGAAAGACCTCGCTTTAAACAACGACATTGCTCTATTGATTCTTTTTTAAAAGCAATACAAACTTATATAAAAATCAATATATTTATTTCGTAGACAATACTGTAGATGTCACAACATGCTATATAAAATTTATATTTACAGTGGTCATTATAAAAAATTAAAAAATATCACACGAATGTGGACGGATTGTACGATACGTAAGAGTAGATTACGAATTCTCAAAGGAAGTAAAGCAAGACGAAGAGTGGAAATATGGTCAATAGAGTTCTCGAGCTACCAGACTAAAAAGAAAGTCATGAAAGTGAGTAATTACAAATCGACACTTACAATGATGTAGTAATTGCAACGGTCACCACGACAGCATTCGGAACATTTCCAGTCCTGGTACCAGATGTGCGTGCATAAGGGCATTACACTATCTCGATAACGCAAGCACTTCTCTTTGGTAGAGCACCGTTTCGAAACATAGTACTGTTTTGCGGCACCGTACGTCCAATAGGGCGTACTGCCCCAGCTTATTTCCGAAAGACAGTAGTCTTCACCTTGTTCGCATGTTTTAATTGTATTCAAACACTTCTCGGCGTTATCCTCTTGATTATCGCACACATAACACTCCAAACTCGATGCTGTAAAATCAACATTAAGGAAACTGTTTACGTGTGAAATTTACATACTTAAAGTTAGGCTTATCGCAAATATAAAAAATGTGGTCCACTTTATCATTATTTATTTATTTTTTAAACATTAGAGATAAGAAACTTTAATAAAAACACGGGTGAGTGAATCATAACAATTAATAACAAACAGAGCAACGCCCAATAAAAACGTTAAAATGAAAGTAGTGCCAATGGCTACATGACGTCAAAACATCATTGCGACTACTAGCATTAGTTAAATGAACTACCGTCTAAAAGCGGCAAAATTCAATTTGTAATTTTATACTATTTCACCGATTTTTAGTTTGATTATAGGATAATTGTACGTGCATTTAGTACATAATTATTAAATATATTAATTGGGCATAACGTTTGTGCCCGTTATATGTTAAGATTTGCAAGAAGTCGCTTTTTATTAAATATCAAATTATTAACTAATGTGTTCAAATCTGGTTAACACAACATTCCTTTCGAGCAATTATAACTTTTTCACTTTAATGGGAATATTTCAAAGAACTTCGTATAATAATTTCTAACCATTAAAATACCTTACATTTTTGCTCATTGTCTACACATAGCAATGCCGTAATGACTCTCATGAATAAATAATTTTTAACATTCAAGCTGTAGGTATAGTGCTGCTTGTATAATTCGAGTATTTCTTAAAAGTAGTCTGAACTAATCAATCTCATGTCAATATTGATAGTAAGGTATGAGTTCATCTGACCAATTTACATAAGCATACTCTTAGTTTATTACATATTGAACAATTTCTAGTTGTTTTAAATAATAGGCGATTTTTAATCGGTACACTTTTGGTAATCAAATTTACATAAGTTTTTATTTCTTCAGAGATTTCTTAACACTGAGCTGGGTTTCAGGATAATGCATCGGCTGCAGTCTCATAAAAGCATTCCTAATGTCATACAATACTTGTATCTAAAATTTAATCTAATTCGATAGTATTAGAACTAAGGCCTAATCTGTTTCTAGAATTAGTTTAATACTGATGATGTAATTCTTAAATCTGTCTGTTACCCAAGCCAACGCTAATGCCTTTTGCTTGATCTGTGGATATAAATAAGTCTCTCATCTAACAGATATCGTTCGAGAAACATATATGTAATCATTTTACATGAGTTATCCGTATTGATTTGCATTACTTAACCGCCAAAGGGTCTAACCTCGGTCCCCTACTGTTCTTAATCTTTATTTGCCTTGTTTAATTTCTTGTAATATCTTATTATTTGCTGAGGATTTAAAGATTTTTACATTTTACTAATTGCATTTCATAAAGTATCATTTAATGTTACTAATTGGGATTGTAGCTCTTCATCAGTCTAATGCACAGTTTTTGAAATGCCTTTTAGTATTGCCAATAACAAATTATAAATGAAGGAATGCGTTTTTATAATCTATAGTAGCACCAGCACTAGCAACTGCACACTTGCCACCACCCAATGCACAAAGAATATCATCCATTACAGGCGATAAGGTCGTACAACAACTATGATTTGACCTGATTCCGATTTTTAGGTAAAACATTATGTTGAGTACCAATTAAATCTTAAATTTGGCCTTCGATGGATCTTTCGAGGACCTTAGAGTATTATACCGGTAGTAATGTAGTATGCTGATTGGATTAGAGATTAGAGTAAATTTCTGGCTTTGCAGTTTTTGGAATAGATTTTACTATTGCTATCTTCCATAGGGACCTAGGGAAATGCGAAGATGTACAAATAATAATGCTTTTATTAATCCAGGTGATCCATTATAATAGATATAGGATACATGTTTCCTTTATTTAAGTGCAAAATTAATACTTTTTTTTAAATAAAAATGGTAGCTAACATTGAAAGCTCTGGTATATTCAAAATGAAAAAAAGGTTTTCACTAACTTTAGCGCATGTTCCATGAATTGAACAGCTTCTCAAAAGGTCATGTAAGGGACTATTTAGTGTACAAAGGAAAATAAGTTATGGCATAAATTTTCTTATAAATCAGACTCTTAGCATTGCGCAGTCGCAAATATGGGATATGTTTATGCCTTTACTAAAAGAATCTTTGGTTAACATTTCAAAAAATATCTATAAATCAGAAAGTAGACATTGCGCCAGAGCTGGGTAAAGCCCTCTTGAAAAGGGCTTGAAGCACTAAGCACCGAGCACATCGTTTTCATAAAAGTGCTTGCAAGCACTAAGCACTTTTATGTGATGAAAGAGCTTGGAATTACCAAGCACTTTCTAAAGTAATTGAAAATACAAAGCACCAAGCCCTTGGAAAGTGCTTGAAGCCATTAAAAGTGCTTGAATCAACAATATAAATTAATATAAATATAAACAATATAAAGCACCTTTCATATTACTGGAAACCAGGGTTTCTAGTCTATAACTTTTGATTGAGACTTCTGATCGAAAAAGTACGAATTGATTTGGATTCTACGTACCCAAATTAACAAGAGAAAGTGTTTTCCCGAGAAATTTTGGTGTAGTCGATTTTTGGTAAAAAAGGAAGGCTATACACTGCCTTTTTTTGAGCCCCGAAAAAAAAATTGTCTCAGATCGTCCCGGAAAAAATATTTTCTTATAGAATGTGCCCTGTAGAATCGATAACTTCAAACAGTTCCAAGATTGGGCTACTAGTTCAAAAGTTACAGCCCTTTGAATTTTTTTTCCAAATTGGTTTCTAGCCTGCTGGAAACACTTTAAAAAACACGCTAGAAACAGTACTTCCGCATCGTAATTATACTGGAGGAATTAGTGGTTTTATCGCTAAAGTTTTGCTTGTCCAAATTTTCGTTTAAAACGATTAGGTAAAGAAAAAAATGTTTTTATCGGTACAGTACTCTCTCCGTACCCATGGGTAATGACTAATGTAGAAGTAATAACTGCATGCGCTATAAAAGTAGGTACTACCTACATGAAAAAAATCCAGAATGTTGCTTGGAAATTCCTTGACACTTGTTACTTGTAAGTACGTACCTACCGAGACGTATCTTCTGAAATAATTGAAATTAGTGATAGTATGTTACGTGAAGAAATGCACAGATAAAATTTGTAAACTTTTAGTATGTAGGTAATAATTCTTAATTACAAATATAAAAGGACAATAAAAGATAACAATTCCTTATAATCAAAGTAATACAGATATAAGGGTTAAGACTAAATTAAAAAAATAACTTGCAAACCAAAATTTAAACTTCTACTATTCTTGGTATTTACTATTTTGGCGGTTTGATGTTATTTTCTGGCCTTTTATAAAAATGTTAATTTAGTGGCAAGTGCGTGGTAATTGATTAGGTACTTTTTTTGCCGTTCAGGTAATGTATTATATACGCGGCAGTAAATAACTAATAATAATAAATAACTAGAACAAAACTTAACGTATGCCAGTATGCCCTGAATATGATAGGGCAGCGTTAATAAATGGCAGAACTATTACCTCTTCCTTTTTTTGTTCGCGAAATCGTACGACCCCTTTCAGTTTCACAGGAAACCACACAATACGAAAAACAAGAAGTCAAAAGTGGGATGTGCAGACTGCAGACTAATCACTAATGAAGCACAGAACACGTAGGTAACGTCAGAGTAGGAGTGAAGGAATGAGTAAGACTAAGGGTTTTCTAAATTCGTCACCTAATTCACGATAAGAGCTTCGTTATGAAAGTGCTTGAAGCTCTTTGTAAGTGCTTGAAGCCCTTAAAAAGTGCTTGAAGTTCTTTGAAAGTGCTTTAAGCTCTTTGAAAATGCTTGAAGCTCTTTATAAGTGCTTGAAGCTCTTTATAAGTGCTTGAAGCTCTTTATAAGTGCTTGAAGCTCTTTATAAGTGCTAGAAGCCCTTGATAAGTGCTTGAAGCTCTTTAGAAGTGCTCGAAATTGTATGAAAGTGTTTCAAGCAGTTCAATAGGGCTTGAAGCTCCAAGTACTTTTAAAAAAAAGTGCTTGGTAATTGAAGCACTTTTTCCTGAATTAGAAAAGTAATTGAAGCACAGAGCTCTAAGCACTAAAAGTAATTGAAGTCCATTAGCAAGCACTTCTTTCAAAGCACTACCCAGCTCTGCATTGCGCACATCTGATTTTTTACAATATGCGATATGCGTGTACTTTCTAGAAGCATCTATGGGTATAATTTCAAAACAATTTCATTATAAATTTTTAAAAAAAGTAGACATTGCGCATATTAATCGTCAAGATTTTTCTCGGTTGGAGTGTCAGAGGTATAAGGTACCTATTACGAACTAAATATCTAGAAAACCCTAAGATTTTCGGACGGACCGACGGAAAAAGTGGCCAACATTAGTTGGACAATGCGCTAAGAATAATCAAACTTGTCTCTCTAACTTTGGCAGACAATATGAATGTAAAATTTTAATGGTCGATATTAGAAGTAATAAAAATGAATTGAATACTGATAGTGATAGGAAAATATTTAAAGCATTCAATTCGTTTTTTCTCATAATATCTTCAATCAAAATTGCGCATTCACATCACCAGTTCTTCCAAAGTTACAGGGATGGATCTAGGATTTGGTTTGAACACGGTGTAGCGTACAATAGCAGCAAATGGCAGTAGAGGCAATATTTATTAGTACGTAAGGGGGCCTGTTTTAGTAAATGATAGCAGTAGATAATAACTAATCAATGTCATTAGATTCTTTTGTATTTCTTGTTATTGCCCAAGGCATGTTAAATGCAATTTAAGTTGCCTATCTTTACGTGGGCGATTTGATCTGTGGAATATGTTAATAATCTTATAAAACAATTTCGCGGTCCCATATTGGTACTTGTATCGTTTTTCTATTCAGATTACAACCGCCGTTATTTATCGAAAAATGATTTTTCTATTCGTGGATTTAACTAAAAAATCAAGACATGTATAGACGCCCTTGTAATCATTGCCAGGCATTAGACTTTAACTACAAAACTCAGTACGGCACTGGCGGATTTGTACTTTAAAGCCATTTGGTATAAGTCCTACTTTTAATTAATTAAATTACGAAATGCCTATTTCTTTAATGGCACGATACTTACACCAAAGTGAATAATTTATTTATATTGGATACCTACTAATAGCCATTTGCGCTTTTTATAAACAGGAATTAAGTAACATGTAAATAGTCATTCATTTAATGTAATTCATTCATAAATATAATTCATTATTATCGATCATGGATTCTCTAAAGGAGGATATTTAGTCACGCAAGGAATGCGTATTCATGACGGATCGACGGAGTGATGTCACTTATTTTCGTTTTCTCTAAATCCTTCAATTATATGAGCCCCCATCATAAACGCCTACGCTTACTTTTCGGGATCGATCCGTGCGAGTGTAGCGGTAGACGTCCCGCAGCAGTCAGGCGGTTACAGGTTAAAACAGCAACGTTCGTCTGTGCTAGAGTGGTACGCCGCATTGTTGTTCAAACCTCTTGAATGAAATGACGTTTTCGCCTCCTGTTGGAGGAACGTAGAGGTTCACGTGACTTTCCACCAATCGCGCGTCGCGAATAGACGAGCGAAGTCGTACACCCTCGCACAATAGCAGAAACATGGAGAAGGAGCAGGCAGTCGTGCAGTTGTATAATCATTCTGAGAAGTTGTGTCGTGTGGTACGGACATTTGACGGTGACTGTTAGCTTGCAATGTTGACAGAAAGTGTTTTGTAGATAATAATCGAAAGTGTGTGCTTGTTAAAAATGCCCACCGCGCCGGATTCCGAATACGAGTTCGTATCGCAAGAGTGGCTTCTGGCCGAATTGAGGAGCGATTCGAAAAGTTTGGTTATTTTAGACTGTAGAAGTTCGAACGAGTACGGAGAATCTCACATTCGAGATGCCGTCAATTTTTCTATTCCTTCTATAATGCTACGACGTTTGGCCGCTGGAAAAATTGATCTCGTTTCGACGATAAAGTGCAGAGAACTTAAGAATAAGATTTGTAGCAATTATAAAGAGAATTTGTTCGTTCTTTATAATGAGTTATACGGAGTTCAGCAACACCTGAGTGATTCTACGCTAAGCGTTTTACTGCGAAGGCTGACTCAAGATGGTTGCCGTGTGGTGTGCTTAGAAGGTTAGTTTTTCTCGTTTTTTCGTTATTTCGCCTTGATCTCGTATATTGCATTTGCAAAATTGCGAAAAGCTTCCTCTTGTAACTGGCGTGGAAATTTGTGGCATGTTTATCTAAACTTCCATGATCCACAGGTACAATCGACCAGTGCAATAATAATGTTAGTTTTTGCCTCCATTCACCGATTGCTTCAAGTACGTACTTTTACTCTGCCCATTGAATATTTTTAAGTTTAAGTTTCCAATTCATTCATAACCTCAACGATTACTTAAGCGTCGTGATTATGTCACGGTTAATAAATAATTCCATTACCTAATCGCGTACTGGCGTACATAATTAATAAAAACGAAAATTTCTCTTTTCACGAGATCGTTCACAATTACAGATTTAGTGCTTACCGGATGTCAGACGTGATCGTATCCGGTGTTTTCGAAAATTAAATAGGCACCTCCTATTTTATGTTCAAAGGATACACACACATAATCTAATTTTATACATCCTACTTCGGCCTTTTTTTTATTATTTAATTTGTTTTGCAATGAATTTTTGTGGTCCTGACATTAAAATTGTATTCTTGGTACAATATGTGGTACTGCAGGGGTGAACTCCCACCGTTTGAGGTGTGGAATTTGAGGTAGACATCCCGTCTACCCCGAACCATTGAATGGAGTGTCCCTCAGGAGAAAAAAAATGTGAAAGAAATCATAAGACGTGGCCTTGAGAGGAAATTCCAGATGAATAGAAATTTGGAATTTAATAGTTCTGTTTACACCCTTAATAGTTCTACTACGCCACAATAGTTCTATTGTTCTACATATACAGGGTGGTGCACGGTAAGTAGGAATATAGGGATTTAACATGGGAAATTAGTTTTATGCAAAATCCTGCTCTCCTGTACATTTTACAGAAAAAACTGTAGAGTTTAAAGTTGTTCAGAATTAAAAGATGCATGCAAAACTGTTTTTACATGTTTTATTAAACTTTTGGTTTACCCGCAAATTTAAAAATAAGTTTCAACACTTCTGTTATTAGCAATAGCCATGACTTTTGTTGTTTTATGAATTGCCATTAATAATAGAAATGTTCAAGTTTACTTTTAAATTTGCGGGTGTACCAAAAGCTTAATAAAACATTGAAAAACAGTTTTGTATGCATCTTTTAATTCTGAACAACTCTACAGTTTTTTCTGTAAAATGTACAGGAGGGCAGAATTTTGCATAATACTAATTTCCCATGTTAAATCCCTATGTTCCTACCTACCGTGCACCACCCTGTATTTGCTTATTTTTCACCTGGTATTGACAGACTTCTCATTCATATCATGTATACAAGGTTGTTCAAATAAATAATTAATACTTTACCGATAACATAAAAAAATTGAAAAAAAAACTTTGTACAGATGTAAACCGGTGGTTTAGCAACTGATTGTAGGAAGTGATTTGAAAAATATACAGAGCAATTCAAAATACCCGGTTGAGCCACTGTAATCCTATTTGCAAAAAGGTATATTATATAGTGTTGTGGAGCGCGAATATTTGCAACCGAATTTTGCAATATTTTCGGAAATTTAAGCGAATATTTTTCACAAATTCTCGAGAACTACATTCTTCCAAATGTTCCAGTGTATGGAGTTTCTTCTAGTTTTAGGGGAAAAGAGACAGCGATGTCAAACCTTCCCCAATCGATTTCTACGACTTCAAAAAACAGTGCTATTGAAAATGAGCCGGATAAAAGTCGCGAATTGAGTGTCAAAAAATTCTCCCACTGAAAATCGTATGGGATTCTTCATATCCTGTTAATCAGCCAACCCCCAGTTTCGCGCGTATCACATTTTAAGATCTGCACTATGGCACTGTATCTGCGACGGCAATTTTCTTTTGTATGTATGTTAAATAAACACTTAAAAATGCGTTTTATGCTTTTAAAAAACATAAGGTTATTAAAAGATGTTGGTGTATCGTAATTCTAATTAGTATAGATCACTACCTACTTTTAGTATATTTTGTAATATTCTCGAAAGTTCCCGTCTTTTCGCAGCGATAAATAAATTAAAGGAATTTTACAATACTAGGTATATGTAATTAATTCAATGAACGATTCTGGTGCGTTCATGGCCACCTAGATTAAAAATAAAATTTGACTATTTTTCCAACCCACCTCGTATCCGATGTAAAAGCGTCTGTAGAATTCAAAAAAGTAAAAATTTACAGGGTGTACCATTTGCGCAGTCTATATTTGATTTATACCACTTACGATATGTGGGTCTTTACTGGAAACCTTTATGGTTAAAAATTCAAATATACATCAGGTTGTAAGAGATCTCGCATATTCGCTTAGATAGAGAGTTGGTTAAATGGACAAAAATGATCCTCGAGTTATGCCTAAATAAATAAAAAAAAACATTTCCCCCCTCTAATGGCGAGAAATAACAGTTGACGTTTTTTATTTCTGGTTTTAAAATGCTTATTTGGGGAGGGATTTAAATACCACACGAACTTTCTTTAGGGAACTGTTTGTGTTCTTTTAGAATGTGATGGAAATGAATTTTCGGTATCATTAATACTGTATTTTATATCGATACCGATTACTTTTGTTTTTCATATGGGAGTCATTTTAAAAACTTAGATCTAATAGAGAAAAAATTCCAAGCATGTTTATAAAAAATCAAAAAAAGTTCATAATTAAAAAAATATATATATATATCGAAAAAAACGCGAAAAATATAAAGGAAGTTATAAAAGTAAATAAGAGCTAATGGCAACCGATTTTCTCAAGATTCTTTCAAGTTCGTAACAAATTTTTCCTGTGACGTGCACCAGTTACATTCTCATGAACCACCCTCAGGGTTATTCTTACTTCAAAACGAATCGGACAATAACAAATTCGTTGTTGAATGCAAAGCCCATATTAAATAAACAATTTAATTCCGTTCAAATACCTGGAATTGAAAATGATTCAGCCAGCATAGCTGATGACATTTTAATTATGCTTGCGTAATAATAATTTACCTAATCCATTTGATTTACTGTAAATAATTACATGCCCTATTCTGTTTCATTCAATGACCACTACTTTGCTGGGTCACTAGCTGACCATGCATCAGAATGTTTCCTTTGTTAGTATACAATCCACACGACATACTTTCCTGAAATATGCGAGTTTAAAATGACACACGTGGCCTTGCCTTTTATGCAAAGGTCGATTTTAAAACGCCCCCACAAATTAGTCGCATAAAATTAAAGGGGTGCCATAAATAAACATTTTTATAGCGTGCAAATGTAAATTTTGTAAGATGGAACGTGGGAGTCGCGTGCGTCGTTTGAGGCCTCGACCAGTCAAACATCCTTCTGCATGTTTAAACAAAAAAAAAGACGCGGGAAAGTAATTCCCCAAGAATTAATTGTGCAATAGGGTGAGCGAGCGGCCGGTTAATGACACCACTTCGGCAAGATGGCGCTACGTCGGCCCACGATTTCAATGCTGAAGCTTGTTTACAACCGATGTCGCAACTCCTAGGCGTCTCCAGCTTTCTCTCGTGAAAGAAAAAAATTGACTGGTAGGATGATATGTGGGTTATTAATCCGATAATTTCGCTCCGAAAGTATTCGCGTCCCTCCCACGTCCCCCTCTCGCGTAATTAAACGAGTTAGAAAATTCTTGGTAATGCGTGGGCTTTACAAATTGTCATTTCATTTTCCCCCATTCACTATACACCTACGTTAACTGGACATATGGGCGATTATTGTACTTACGATTTTTTACGCGCTTGATTAATTGCGGACACTTCTTGTTGGCTCAATCGGTTATTAAATAAATTTAGATAATAACGGGCCAAGTATTGGACCCTTAAGACACCCCGATCTCATTTTCGCTCGGGTCATTTGTTGCAGCGGATGTACAGATTATCGACGGAGGAATAAAGTAGGTACTAGATAATTGGATTGTTTACTATCGAGGTTTAAAATCTCGTTACGAGTGGAGTCGTGGGCGCGGAATTGATTAGTAATCTTTGAGTAGTGGGTGTAACGAACTTGCTGCATATGAATGAATGAACTTATTTTCAGAGATATTGTATCAGGTTACCAACCTACGCCGAAAAAAATTATAAATGAAAGAAGGTAGCGAGCGCTTCGTTTCTAAATATAGTTACCGGGCATTCGTTTACCATAAATTGACACAATGGAAAGGCTTTTTGCTTTAAATTATTCAACGGGAGAGGTCTAACAGTATTGAGATCTAAGAAATTTGGCGGCGCCCAACGTTAATAATTACTTGTACCATGAATGTTTTAATTATATCTTCTACACACGCCGATGATGTCACCCAGAAGGGAACTTGCAGTTTACAACATGAAATAGGTGGTAGTATATCCGCATCACTTCCCGACCACTAATTTTAGAACTTCTTAGTAATGTAGATTTTACTTTGACTCACTTGATATATCGATGTTTAATCATAGGAGTAAATTATTTTGCACTATTTTTGTTCTGTTACCTCATCACACGAAATAAAAGAAGATCGGGGTGATTCATGTGTCATTTGTCTTTGTGTTACACAATTGTTGACCAGGGACTAATCGAGATCGAAGGAAGAGGGCATAACGAAACGGTGAAATAGGCGTGAAAGATGCGCGAAAGAGCCATAAAAGCAGATGGCTAAAAGAGGGAAGATATAACACTCCAAGAAGGTGTAAAGAAACCGTCAAGAATATCTGAACCACGAAGGAGGTTTGAAGAAGTCATGATAAATGGTAAGTGGTGGTGAAGAAGACCTGAAGTAAAAGTCAATAATGGACGAAAGAGTGAATGACACCGTGGGAAAAAGTGAAGGAAGCATAAAGGGGTAAAGAAAACGAATATGAATGCCAAATTGCGATATTCACGTTAACCCAATTTTACTAGTATGAGTAAGTTCCTATACCAGAGTATAACCTTCCTTTTTTACCAAAAATCGACTACACCAAAATTTCTCGGGAAAACACTTTTTCTTATTAATTTGGTTGC